AACATATTCTCTAATATAACAAAATATACTCGACAATATGTTGTTAAAGTTGTGTAGCATAATCTAGAACATCTTCACAATAGTGCTGAATCAATCTAATTTTAAGTCACTCTAAAATTGCAATAACTATCTCATCAGTTTCCAGGCGAGTAAAAATCCGAGTGCCACAACAGGCATCTCTTATATCATACCACATCAGTTTGATAAAAAAAATAAATCCACCCCTTCACGAGCGTGGAGTGGTGCGAGCCCACTGTCAGTTAGTCAATAAGCGACACCGTGCAATATGATCCATCATCAGTTAAAGGTTGAAAGCTGTAAACAAACATGGCTGGGCTAAAACTATTATTGAAATACGATGCCGCGATGACAACAGACAAAACTGAGCCGAACAGCAGGCAGAAGGTCCTTTTCGACTGACAGATCAGTTTGTCGGACAGCCCACAGCATGAGATGAGTTTCCATCGGGCTCAGCTTGCGATCGGCACGCGACACTCTGAAAGCTGCCTCGACATTTCAATATATTACGCAAACGCCGCAGGATCGCATCAGTTATTAAAAATTATGAGTTTTCTCAGTTCGACTCGGCCTGGAGTTGGTGTTAGGGCTGTCTAATGGTTTTCTCGCGAGCTTATCAACATGTTTTCATCGACTACCGACTGCCAGTTAGCGCCCACGTGCCGCACGCAATTGCCAGCCAAATGCTAATTAGAGAAAAGTCATTTTCCAATTCAATGGCCAACCCCCGCAACCCCTAGACCTAAACCGGGCCTTGTGCCATGCATTTTCGGCTAGCTCACGCGCTATGCTGATAAGAAGAAATTTCTTTATACATTTATGTGTGTTTCTATTTTGTTTAAATGAATAAGTAGCCCATTATTTGACATGTGGGCTCGTGGATAAGATTATTTAGCGAGCTGCGGTTGCACGTTTCAGTTATTCGCTGACTAACTACACCTATACTTAGAGGTACGTAGCTGACTGTGTTTTTGAGCCAAGTAGTCAACAAGTAAATGGACTGAAGGCGTGGGCGATTGACTAGAAAATACTTTCACGTG